GGCTAACAGCACGTCCGGTGGGTTATTAGCAACCCTGGAGACTATCAGCGGTCTTAGTGGGCTAACAGCACGCCCGATGGATTATTAACAACCCATGAGACTATCAACAGTCTCAGTGGGCTAACAACACGCCCGAGAGTTATCAGCAACTCCCGAGAACACATAACAATAAATATCAAGTAAGACCCAGTTGGTTAGCATGCACACATACTATGACATAGGCAATATAGTAAGAAGACCCACCTCTCACAGAAGACTGATAAACCTCACACCCAAATTGTCGGTACTAGACTCATCCTACTAATCATATCAAAAAATAGCCCTAATTAACAATTAAGGTAATTATTCCAACTCAACAAGTCCAAATACCAAGACTAATCCTCATTTGGGCGAAAGATCATTTTGCCCCTCCAAGTCCTCAACCCCTCACAGTTGACCAAAAGTCAAACGGGTCAAAAAGTCAACAGTCAACCTTCTGTTGACTTACGCATGACGTACTCCAACTCTCTACGCATGGCGTAGAGCCTTAACCGGAATCGGGTAGAAATAAGGTTACGTTGAGCGTAGCCCAAATTACGCCCTACGTACAACACTTTTACCCAATCCTCATTTTAAGCATTTAATACATTAAGACCTTTCGCTTAAAGCTCAGATGTGACCCTAATGAACATTTTAAATCATAAAGTCTCCAACTTTATGCCTCTGCATGGCTAAAGAGAGCTCAAATCCAAAACCCTAACCATTTACCCATTCTCATGATCCACGTCTCATGCATGGATGGAAGGAAGGGGCCACGATTGCATTTTTATGACTTAATACACTCCAAAACGTCTAGAAATGCTACTCACAAGGTCTGGAGTAGCTAATACCCTTGAAGACCAAAAATATGTGAACAAAAATGACATAAACTCATAAACTAGCAGCTTCTAACAAAGCACTCATCAAGGTTTCTGAAGATGGACAAAAGGATGCAAAATCTAGATCCACAAGCTTGAGTGCACCACAACTTTACAATGGCCTTCCTTCAAAATCAAAATGCACCAAAAATCACTCTCGAGCTCCAAAACTCTCTCCAAGGGACTAGGGTTTCGTGATGGGGGCTAAAGGGGATGGAGGTTGGTCAGAAAGGTCTGAAGGGGTTAAGGTCCTTAAACAGGACTCAAAACCCAAAAAATTAGGGTTTGCACTCTGCGCCACTACGCCCTGCGTAACCGAGGTTACGCCCTGCGTAGGGCATAAGATCCCCACATGAGTTTAATGAATTACGTCCTGCGTAGACTTTTATTTCTCAAAAATTATACACTTTAACATCATAAAGAAATATACCTAAGGAACGGGTGTTACATTCTAGCGATACACGATTAATTCCTTCCTATTCTCCATTGCCAATCTTTTAGTTTCTCATCCTTTCCCATCGTGATGCATGCAAAATCCGGTTGGAACGACTGATGACGGTTGGCACATAGGGGGCATCGCAAATACAATGTATGTTGATGTTTAGTGAAATTAGTTGACTTCTATTGTGCTAAAATAACCCTAACACGTTGTTGAACTGAATACTCTGTGGAGACATTGTTTCATTGTGAATGCAAATAAAAAACATCATATAATTGAACACTTTTTTTTTTAATAAGCTTCATTTGATTTATATGAAATTACGTTCATTGGGAACATGGGATGGAAATGCAAGTTGGATCGAAATAAATGGCACAGTTTAGACACTGTTTCAAGACCACCGGCACTCACCTTCGGAGCACACTATCAACGGTAGAAGGTCAAAATTCAAAGACTCTCTTTTTATTGATGTTTAATTAGTTTAATAAAATTTCTTAGTGGTCAAAATCAATGTCGTTGACTTTTGTGATTATGGAACAATTCAATGAAAATTTGACTTTCCTGTTTTTAACTACACAAGGTTCATAAGACCACAGACCCAACTGCCGAACACCATATTGCAGTTTAAAGAATTGTAAAATCATTATCAAACCCTTTTATTTCCTAGGTAAAAAACATTTTAAACTTTCCTGTAAAAAGAGTATATACTATACTGATATTGGTGCTTTTTATGTATGTTAACAAGTAAAGTAATTTACTTAGCGGTGAATCATACTGCAGCAAGCACAAAATATGTAGTGAATCATATACTGCAGCACGCACAAAAAAATGTAGATCATTGTCGCCAAATCATCAAAGAGACATCCAGTTGATTGGTAACTACTTATTTCTTAGGTATATAATATAATGATTGGTTAATAAATATTTGTCATATATGAAGGTTAATTAAAGTAAAACCCTAAATCCCATGAAAATAGTAAGTTGCGAAAATAATGACATACATTTGATAAAAGTGCAGTGAGAATAGATTCGGTCCGGTACTTCAACATAGTTATGTGTTTGAACTACTGTAAACAAGTTTCACATACTTGAATAACATTGAAATTAACATTCTTTCATTCAAATAATGGATAAAATTACCCAAAGTGTAAATATCACAATATGAAAGTAACATAAAGTTTAAACACAATCCATGGATCTTTACAAAACAACAAGGACACATTAATGTGTCATTCACAATCCAATATCCACACAAATTACAAACCGGAAGGAGATGAACAGATAAAAAAACAATTTTTTGAAAAACTCAAAACTTAATTTTAACAAGTATGGTTGTAAAACGTTTAGGCACTTGTGGGCAAATGTTCATGGGTTTGGTTCATGAAAAGGAAGTCATAAACAAACCCAGCAATAGCACCACCAATCAAAGGTGCAGTCCAAAACACCAAGTGGTTGGGCAAGGTAATGTTCCAGCTCACCAAAACCCGGCCAATTGACAAAGCCGGGTTCATGGATGCTCCGGTGAACCCCCCGCCCGCCAATATATTCGCTCCAACAATAAACCCAATGGCAATTGGTGCGGTTGTTCCCAAATTACCCCTCTTGGGATCTATTGCGGTTGCGTAAACTGTGTAAACGAGTCCGAATGTCATCACCATCTCAAATACAAAAGCGTTCCAGAACCCGACTCCTTCTGTAAATGTAAACTCTTCTACAGACTGCAAAAGAATGATATTTAACATTTCAACTCCAACAAACAACTTGTAATTTGAAATATACTTTTAAAGTAAATATTAATTTTAATATTTTGAGTAGGATCGGTTATCTTAAAGTTGAAAAATATACATTTCAAACATTAGCGATGGTGGTATGCTAGCTAGATGGCTTATTGTCATTGTTTTTATCTACTTGTTAATTTTAAAAATAGTTGTTATATTAAATATTATAAGGAAATATTATTGATATAGTGGTCTAATTGTGTAAATAAAGTACAAGGTTATGATAAAAAAAGTTAAAGAGATTGTATAACCATGATGAATTCATTATCATGCAAACATATTAGTTAGATTAGAATATAATATTGAAAAGAAAAAAAAATCAATTAGATTCTCACCATGCCATTGGTGACAAACTCGAGTAGCAAGCAAGCGACAATGGACCCCAGCACCTGACCAAGTATGTAAACAAGACCACGGAGGAAAGTGATATTACCACCAACAAAGGCACCGAGGGTGACGGCGGGGTTCACATGTCCACCGGAGATATTGGCACTGATGGACACAGCCACGAACAGGGCAAAAGCATGGGCGATAGCAGCTACCACAAGACCAGTAGGGGTGGCAGGACCGTCGTTGGTTAGCTTGCTGAAAGCTAAGCCGGAACCTGTGCCTGCAAAGACGAAGATGAAGGTGGAGATGAACTCCGCCACACCGGCCTTTATGGTATCCGGGTGCTTAAACTCATCATATCGGCCAAAAGCGATTGAACGGATTGGCATGGTTAAGTTTTGATTGATAAGATGGCGGAGGTAGGCGGAGTAGGGGAGAGGGAGGTGTAAGTTGATATGCATATATCGCAAGCAAATGAGCTGCTTATATACTGGTTTGTTTTAGTGTTTTACCTGCTACTACCGGTTAACCACCGGTCATAAAGGGTAATCACCGGTCACAAAGGTTAACCACCGGTCTCAAATGTTTGCTAGTTGCCTAGTTCTTTTGTTATTAAAAATTCTGTGAGATTTGCTAAAGTTTATTAAACAGACAACTTTTGGGCGTTGGTTTTGTTTTGACTACTTTTATATTTAATCATTAAAACAAAAATTAAATGCTTAGTCGTAATAATGTTATTAATGTTAGACCTAATTACATTTGTTTTTGCCAATATTTAATCACCACAATGCCCAAATAAAAAAAAGATAAATAAAAAATAACTCATGGAACAACTTACTTCTGTTGAAGAACTCGATTGAAGGCAGGAGAGGTTATATAACTCAACTTTATGTGATGTAAGTACACAAAATTTTAACAGTGCATGTGTCTTCGAATATGCTATGGGAGGAATAAGATATGCATATATGACATAAGGAGTATGACATAGAGAGGGGACAAGTTGGAAAAAAAAAAAGAGGGGCAAGTTGAGTAAAATAGATAGATTCCTGGTATGCTTTTCCTTCGTGAACAGTTGGCGCAACGCGGCTGTTCTTCCAAGAGAGTTCTCGCCGTTAAATATTGTATATTTACAGGGAAAATCACGTATAGGCCCTATAATGTTTTTAGGGTTTATCAATTTAGCCACTTAATTTATTTTATGATTTAATAAGGGAACGAAGTATTTGTTACCTATCAACGTAGCCTAACACGTAAGCGATGACATTGCAAGAATTTAAAGCGTCGAACTACCGCAACGACGTCGTATTGAAGGCGAATCGTAAGGAGCAAGGATCGACTGTTCAAGCGCCTCCATATAAAATCAAGACTTCCTTGACCTAAAATGACACATCTGCAAACTTCATTACCCCAATCTCGTCTCTAAATTTACTCCAAAATGCCTTCGATCGCACATGCAGAACACAGCTGGTCTCCAAACTACCGCCGTCACATGGATGAGAATCATTCGAATGGTGTAACCAACGAAGACATGGCCATCAACGAACACACTTGGATGCCATGAACCTTGAGGTCGATGACGTTCGCGCTGGTCAGTTGGATATCTCAAATATGGTTGCTGATCTTAAAAATCATTTCGTTTCTCTGCAAGGAGCATATGTGAAGATGGTCTTCCAGCACAACAAACGTAAGAAGCTGAAGTATTGTATTGGGATTGTTGGTGTTGTTATTGTGTCTGTGGTGACGTATATGTTCTTTAAGTAAAAAAAAGTTGTGTAGGTTGAAGCATTTCAGTCCTGGGTTTGTATTTTGGTGTGTTATTTATGTTGTTTAGTGTGTTGCTGGTATTAGTTTGTGATGTTGGTGTGTAGATTTGGTGGTGGTGTTGCCTGGGCTGCTGATGGTCATCGTTTTTTGATGAAGTTTTTTGTCGATGATCTGTAATAGGTTATTCAATAGCAGAAAGTGATGTAAACAAACCCATGACTGAAATGTGTTTTAATATGTTATTATTAAAAAAATTTGTCTTACACCTGTATCTGTATGTGTGCATGTGTATGTGTGCATGAAAGAAAGAAACATTTAGGGATTATATATGATTCAAGAACTTGTTCCCAAGCCAATCATGTGGATGTCCATCGACTGGGACGGGACCACAAGCCAAAGCAAAATGAATATACCTTTTTAATGCACATAGACAGGGACCACAAATGGTGCAGTTTGGGAAAATGGACAAAAGTAAACAATATCTTTGCACACGATGCATTGTGTCTGCTTGTCTGCAAACCTTTTTTGGAAAAAAAATGTAGGGAAGTTTTCTAAAGATGGACTTTTTTTTCATGTTGAATGGATTAAGTCACAAATATCCTGTTTTTGACAATGACTTAATTACCCCCACACCCAAAATGGTCAATTTACAATGACTTAATTACCCCTACATCCAAAATGGTCAATTTACAATGACTTAATTACCCCCACATCCAAATTGGTGAATTTAATTTGTAAGGACTAAAATGCCCATAAAACCCCTACATATTTGTGGCACGGGACAACAATAAAATTCCATATAACAACTTACCACACAACAAAACAACATAGTTGACCATAAAAGAACATACGTAGATCGTTTGTTTATTGCAACACACATTCACTACAAATAACAAACAATTATCTAATCCAACTCCATGGTCGTTGCAAGATTGCTACCTTCACCTCCCACATCTTTTGCAAGCTTCATTTTAATGATTCTTTCTGACTTCTTTCGTTTGTTAGGCGGTTTAACATGCTTGACTTGATGAACACGAGCATTGACCTTCACCCCTTCCTCCCGTCCATTGACTCCCAACATCCGCTCTTCCTTACCAGTCCTCTCCAAAGCATCACTAGCATCTACCATTACCTCATCATCCCCAACCCCTGTGGCAACGTTTACACACTCCTGCGTAGGTATAGTTTTTTGTTTCTTTGTTCCATTTTGTTTGGATGTCCCTACACCTTTACTACAAGTTGCCTTGTTGTGTCCTTTCTCCTTACATATACTACAAGAAACTTTCTTCCCTGCCTTGGAGACAGTGTGTTTTCCCATCCGTTCAGAAGCATCTCTTCTTCTCTTTATTGTTGGCCTGCCTGGCATATGTCTTTTCAATGGAGGCAAAGGGGGTATCAAGTCAGTGGAAGGCCACAGATTTTTTCCATTCATACCATGGATTGGCTGTTTGTAAGTATTATGGTATAATGCAGCCAAGTACATTGGATCTACATATGGACCATCAGGTGTGATATTTAAGTAGGCTAAGGTAGCAACTGAGTGTACACAGCCATATCCATTAAGTTGCCATAGCCTGCAGCTGCATTTAGTTTGTTCAACATGAACAGTAAACGCCTCGTCCATTTTCCTTGCCTCAAACTTCATCCCCCCACAAGATATGACCTACCAATGCCTACATATATAGATGAAAACCGCAAATATCATGAGATGTGAAGAGTAACGTAGTAATGTAATTGGATAAATGTACAAACATTTGCTCAGTCTGGAGCATATTCAACCGTATTCTGATATTTGGACAAATAGAATAACGATTCCATCCTTGTCCGGTTAGTTTCATAGTCACCATCCTTTGCATCACATATATACGAATGTCCTCTAACATGCTTATTATTGGTTTCTTCCGGGCATCCAAAATCACACTATTAAAACTCTCTGAAAAACCATTCTCTACTGACTCACAAGAATTATGAACTCTGAAAAAAGCCAAAGACCAAGTCTTTCGAACTCTATCCATAAGATGCACAACTGCTTCCAGATTTAATTTTCCAATCTCTTTCATAACTACATTAAATTGTGCTTCAGTTGTTGCCTTGCTCGCTTTCCAAAACAGATTTTCAAACTTGGATCCACTAAATCTCTTTCTAAAATTCGCATAGATATGTCTAGCACACTGCCTATGTTCGGCTGCTGGAAATACTTCCTTTACTGCCTCAATCAAACCCTACATAAGTCACATTAATGTTTGAAATTAGAATAGCAATTAGTAATTTTAGAACATACACTAGTTTTGAACCATACCTTGTGTTGATCCGAAATTAGAACCATACCATGTCCATCATTCCAACATTGCAAATCTTCTTAAAGAGTTTCTATGAACCATTTCCAATTCTCTTTGTTTTCCACACTAACAACTGCCCAAGCAATCGGGAATATTCCATTGTTAGCATCTCTACCCACAACACAAAGCAACTCCCCTTGACAAAAACTTTTCAGAAAACAACTATCCAGGTTAATGATCCTCCTACATCCTCCCCTCCATCCCTCTTTTACTGATGCAAAACATATGTATATTTTGCTGAAATAATTCTTACCATCAGGCATTGAATCAACACAAATTTTAACTGTGGATCCAGGATTTGATCTTCTAATCTCCTCACCATATGACCATATTCTTGCATAATTTTCAGCTATTGTGCCTTCAGCTAGACTCAATGCATAACTCTTGGCTCGCCTACACTGACTCATACTCACATTAATCCCAAAAGCGGTTTTTACCTCCTCTCTAAGTAATCGGACGCTCATCTTTTGATTGTTATAAAATTGGTGCTTAAAGTGGGTCCCTATCCATTTGTAAGTCACAATTGATCCGAATTTGAAATTTTTTGCACAATTATGCTCACCGATAAGAGACTTTATCTGGAAAGACTTATCATCACTCATTCAAGAACCCCAAAGCCTAAAAGTACATTTTCCATCACAGCATTTGACAAGTAATCGTCTAGTATCATTCTTCACAAAGCATAATTGATAACCATTCGCGACGGCATAGTTACAAAGCATGTGTTTCAATTTCTTAGGACTCTCAAACCTCATACCTAAAACAGGTTCCTGCTCCTTCCAATTGAGCTTATCATTGAAAATGTTTGGCAATTCGGGATAAACATCTTCATTGTCACCCATGTCTTCTTCTACTGCCCCACTTACACCTACTTTCTCACCCATGTCTACCTGAATCTCATTACCCTTTACAAAAAAAATGAGGCTTCTGATGGTCATCCTCATCTTCATCGACATCCTCATCTTCATCGTCATCATCGTCGCCATTCGCTTCCTCATCGTTTGTGTCACCCACATCCAGATGCCCTGTTGCAACTTCCTTAACCAGTCCTGCACCATCAAGTACTTCTTCCTGTACGTTACCAACAAACTCGTCTTTGTGTTCATCCAACCATTCATGTATGTTACTATTCCCAAAATGGTTTACATACATAGCGAGTATAACACCACATTCATATGCAATTGCTACGAAGTCGTAATAATCGGGGTTATTGCAAATTAGAGTCAAACCTTTTGGAAAATCAATATCAGGTTGGCAGTAATAGAGCTTCTCACACTTTTCCCCAGTGAACCTTTCGATGAACGCAACACACCCATCCTTGTCCATTCCTGCGAAATCGATGTCCGAAAACCTCTGAGTAATTCCATCGGTGTAGCGTATGGGGTTTCTGGCGAACATTCCTTGGAAGTGGACATCTACTTGTAAGAATACAGGTTCCATGCTTGAGGATGCAGAAGCAGCTCACAAAAAAGGGTTTATCGATGAAGTGTTGAACAGTGGAGGTAAAAGGGTTCTTTTATAAAGCATATACCGACAGTAAGAAGGAAGCGACTAATTAATGACATGGCATTAGACGAAAGTCACATTCAGCATCCGATGTGGTGTTAGTTGAAGGAGGTGGACTTAAAATGACTGGCTAAACCCTTCACAATTGAAATAAGGACTTAATCGACCCGACAAATAGTAATTCGTTACCTTATTAAGCCACAAAAATAAGTTAAGTGGCTAAATAGGTAAACCCAAAAAACATTATAGGGCCTATACGTCATTTTCCCTATATTTATACTATTCTTTTGATCTCCTTGCATAGTTTAGGGCCATTTGTTTTATTTTTGTATAATTACACTAATGGTCCCTATAGTTTGGAGTAATCTGTGTGTTTGGTCGCAATTTTTTTTTAACTCGGATGATCACTCAAGTGTATTTTTGTTGCGTGTTTGGTCCCTATTAGTCATATAAAGACTATATTACCCTTTTTATTTTTTATTGTTTATTTTTTATTTTATTAATTAAAAAATTCTTAATAAATTAGATGGTCCCACCCCAGGCCCAAACACACATATCCACCATACGACATCTGTAACTGATGCTTCATCTCCCATTTTTTCTTGCCCTCGTCCGGCTATCCTCCTTGTCGTATCTGCCACCCCTTCAACCCGACGGTGCCTTCTCTCTCCAACATCTTCAATGAATGCAAAGTCTTCGCCACTAGCATCCACTGTGCCACTAATGTCTGCCTCCACGATCAACCATCGCTCCTGCTACCAACACTATTTTTCGTGACTTCTACTCCGACCAAGTGATTAGCAGCAGAAAATGAAATTAGTTTTTGAATCTGAAAACAGATCCCCAATTTTCGACTTCGACCCATGTCATATGGAGATTGTAGTACGTCTTCACAAATTTCGATTTTAGTAAGAGAAATTTAAATCAAAATTGAGAGAGAGAGAGAGAGAGAGAGAGAGATAGATAGATAGAGAGAGAGAGAGAAAAAAAGAGAGAGAGAGAGAGAGAGATAGAGAGAGAGAGAGAGGAGGTTGCAACAATGAAGGTTGTCGTAAGTCTCGTGGAGATTGTTGTTAGCCATCACAAATTTTATAGTTTATCCAAGCTATGAGTTTTGGGATTTCTGGTAGGTAAACATAGTTTTTTTTTATCTAAGTTGTAGAATGTGGAGGTTTTATCAAATTTGTCCATATCTTTTTTTCTTTATCCAAGTTGTGGCTTCATTGAAGGTAAGAAAAAGGTTTCATCAGGTTTCACTTTGTGATCTTTTGAACTTGATATCATCATGTTTCTTTTTTGGTTTATCCAAGTTGTGGCTTGATCTTATTGTAT